AATGAATAAAGCTTCATAAAAAATAATATCTTTGCCAACCGCATTAATAGGACAGCTAGGACGGTGTCCTAGACAGACGGCTAGACGTCTAGTTTTGATTTCTATTCCATGTGTAGAATGGTCTATGCGGCGTTTGTACTGTTTGTTAAATAAATTACCATAGGCAAGGTATGCAATGTTATTTTTCAAACACGCTCACTTTATTTTTATGTTTGAATTATTATGCGTAAATTAAAATGTTTGGAATTTTCAAATACTCTCGAAGACCAAATTTTTAATATTTGAGATTTTTTGCAGTTCTGTGATGACAATACAAACTTTTGTTTTTCAGAGGCTTAGATGATTTGGAAATTACTATATTAATCTTTCAATATGAATAATTTGTAAGAATGGTCCAAGTGTAATAAATACTTCATCTAAAATTATACATAGTTTATATTTTATTAAAACCACTTTTTAAGATCAATATCCTCAGCATAAACATTTTAGTAACTCAGAGACTGCGCATTAGGATTTTGATTTAGATAGGTACATCAAAATTGTCAAGAAAATCATTTGTTAAATCATTTGCAGTAAAAAAGAGATGTTCTCATTTGAAAAAAATCTCAAGAAATTGAAAATATGTTCTTGAGCTATACTTAAAAATTCCAAAAATCAGAATTTGAATAAAATATATCTTATTAAAAGAAAAAACGGGGCTTTTGCATACATAACAATTTACCTTGTATAGCCATATACTATATAGGTATAATTTTATGAATGTGAATTAATCTGAAAAAAAAAATGTTTTTTTATTAAAATATATGTGTACAATATTTAATGAATCCCTAAATACTGAAAAAATAAAAGTAAGAATATTTATAAGATTCTATATAAAATATGTGTTTACGTAAGCGAATAAATATAAGATAAATTAAGATTGACTGGGTTATTGTGGTTTAATTTTTTGTCATATTTTCAGTGTATCGAAAATTACAATACTATCTAATACCTCGATATTAATAGTAATAATAATAATACAAGCAGTATAAACATTATTTTCTATACAAACTTTTATGTACAATATTATGATATACAATATAAAAACGTTACGGTTTCTGGTTTTCTTCATAATAATATTATTATATTTGGGTTGGATAAATTACATTAACCGTTAACGTACAATATAATATTATTGTATTATAATATGTCGTCAGTATTCGCATAGGTGACACATACGCAGGACACAGTTTCCATCAATAAATAATGATATAATACATAAATAAGAATATTTTTGCTCGGTACAAACGCCGAGCTGTGACATTATTATGTTATTTATATTATTGTTATTATTTTTATCGGCTTCTTTTCTTCTCCGCTTGTCAAATGCATACCTAATAGTGTGCCCGTTCTTGAGTTTCGATCAGATCAGAGAATTTCGAACATTTTTTCCATCCAAATATGCATTAGATGGACGTTATTTCATTATACTAACGGAATGTTAATATATGTATGTATATATTATTCATCAAAATGTATCATACAAGTACGTGATTCATACCACCGGTTATAAATTGATCGATTTTAAAATTCCATAAACGATTTATTGAAAATATTTTAAAATTGAAATTCTTGTCGAAATGTGTGACTTTAATGATTATAGACTATATAGGTAATACATATACTATAGCATAGTTGATATAAAATTAATATCAAACGTGAATATTATAGGTACCTACATTCAAATTATCATAGATCAAATCGAGTGGAATTATTTTAACATGTCAATGCTATTATATAATAATATGTGCCTAATTATTTTCATATACCATTTCATTACACATATTTTGAACACTTAGAATAAGGACCAGATGCAATAATTATGAATACATTTCAGACATGTGTAATTATTGTTGTATTTACGGGTTTCAAATACAAAACAAAATAATTGTACGTAGCAAATTAAACAAAAACGTAAATAGCAATTTGAAATATAAAGGTTATTTGACCAAATATAGTATTTTCTAACTATTACTTTTTTTTCAGTTTATAATTATCATATTTTTTTATGTTTTGAAACTTTAAATTGTTGTTGTTGTTTCCAAATTTAAATAAACTGTGCCTTGTCTGTTTTATATATACAATTTTTCAATTTAAGAGAGAGCATTTGAGTTTAGCCCAAATAAGTTATTTAGATTAGGTTCTTTAGGAACTATGCATTATTTTAAAAGTTCTGAAATAATTCACAATACGTAATTACTTCTTCGTAGCATCATTATATAATATTCCATTTTTTTTTTTTTAGTCTAAATGTTTACCATTATCAGTTTAAATATATTTCATCACCTAAATATTTAATAGTGGTCGGTGATAAGCAAAATAGTAAATACATACTAAGTACCTAACAACTCAAAATTATTTTGAAAACAATTAATCTTCTATAACATTCTATAAACTATGAATACATTAATAATTAATTTGATATTCATTTTCAATTTGATTTTTCAAGACTCTATAAGCTTTATTACAGATACTATTTTTTCAACATTTATTAATTTTAGGTGACAGAAAATGTTTCAAACATTATATATGTTTAATATTCATAAATAGTCATTACCAGACACATAATGTAAGTTGGATTACATTGTAATTATTATTTACAATGTTAATATTATTTGAATATTTAAATGATAGTAATATTATAGAATAAAAGAATGCTCATTTTTATTGTCTCTCAGTGCATTCAACTTTTTATACGAAAAAGGAACTGCAATATTTTTTTCTTTCTTACTTAATTGCTTACATATTTTTTATAACAGTATACTTATATTACTATTAACATGCAGGTATAGTGTTGCACATTGTATAATAATCGTTCTGCCATTGAATGTAACCAAAGTAGAATATAACGTAAGCACACACAATTAAACATTCGTAATCATTACGGGTTTATTACGACGTCTTTGTTATAAAAACCCAGCAGATATGAAAAATTTTAATAAACTGCAAGAAACTGTAACATTAGGTTTTATTTATTTTTTACATCGATTAAATACTGGAGTAATTCAGTTTGTTTCTTACTTTCGTGTGACTAAAATGCTCCATTACATCTGGTCAAGTATTTACTTTTAGTTTTAAATTGTCTGTGTGAAATATGTTAACGATCCGTGATAAATAATTTGTGAAAAACAACTCTTTCGTCGGATGATAATTGTACCTACATAATAGTATATTTATATAATATTATGTTTCGTTTTGAAAAAAACATTACCTAGAACTAATATAAATATCTATTTTCTTTGTACACGTATCATATTACGGTTATTAAAATACATTACCCAAAAGCGTAAGTGTAGTCCTAACAGCGGCGAATATACGAAATAGGACGTGGCTTAGTGTCCCGAATGAAATCATAGTGATAGGTTAACTTTACGATCCATTAGACTCTTGGTCATCAAAAATATTACCTCCCAGTTTCCACCGTTTTCTATCATATGCCTGTTCCAACTCCTTATAATAGTTTCCTGACCCTGTCTATTCATCTTCTTCGCCATCTTGGGGTTTCCCCCTCATAATATTTACAAGTGCATCTATCATCAGGGTCTGCCATACACGACCAGGCCATCATATCCTTGTCCGTCTAATACTCTAATGAATCGAACCACATTTTCTCTTTTATATAGCTGGTATAGTGGTCCCATTAGTCCTTAATTATCATTTCTGCTCTATATTGTCTAACAATATATTTTCCTAAGCACTTTCATTTTAAATAAACGTAATTTTTCCTCATCCCCTCTCGCCTTCGTCGTTGATTATGTGGTACACGTATATTTCAACACAATTCAGATGTAGCTTATTATGAGGAGTTTTTTTTTTTGGTTTTTCTCGACGTCAAGAGTTTGGACTTGAAAAGGTTGTTTATAACATAAAGGCTCCAGGCCTTATGACTTATTCAAGTGTACATTTTTGAAATTGCCCTATGCGCGGTGCGAGTGTGTAAAATGAAACTACAGTCCCAAACGTAACGGTTTTCCCTGTTGTTCTTTACACCTTCATTACTATATCGGAGTGAAGGAAGTAATTATATTATATTATTATTTTTTATTGAAGAGATCGAGACAGTCTCGACGAGAAGATCTAATATAGATATAGGTACAACACGTATACTTTATAGACTATAGACACTATGTGCGTGCCTCCACTGACGATGACGACACGGCACCTGGACAATTAAAATTCTCATAAGACAGCCGTCGGCGTTACACAGAAAATAGATCGTTGGACGAGAACAATATGAAAATCGTAACGATCGATTCGACCCAAATAAAAATATCAGAAAAGAAATATTGAACCTACAACTATAATAATAATAATAATAATAATAATATTAATATTGTATTTGTGTGGTAATAATAATTATTGTCGGTTTTACATTCGTTTGGACGTTTTTTTTTTTTTTTTTAATTGGATCGGTCCACCGTATTATCATAGCGTGGAACTGTCGTCGGTAATGACGGTGATGATGATGATGATGCTAATAATAATAAACACATTGCGTGTGAGTGTGGAGCTCACCGTGAAAATAGCTATTAACACCGATCGGTCGGTTTCGCGCTGCAAACAATAATGTGTGTGTATATAGGTATAGGACGTACGTATACCCAGGTATTGGTATTGTACATAATATATTATTATACGGACACAGATATTTTTATCGCGGGTACGACACGGGTAAAATACGGTCACATACTATTACCATCGTCGTTGGGGAAGAGTAGATATATTATTATTATTGTTATTATCGTTTATAACGACGACAGTGGTGGCGGCGGCGGTGGCGTAGAGCGTGTGGTGTTTGTCTTCTCGTCGCGGCGCTAACAATCGAGGCACAATAAACCGTTGGACCGGCAAAACGACGGCGGCAATGGCCATCTTCGTGTTTGTGGAGGGATACCGTCGTTGATGGGGAGGGGGAAAAGCGATTTTCCGACGTCGGCGGGCTGCGCCGAAGACGTCGGCCAGTCCGGTGTCGGAACGATCTTGCTGTGCATCACCGCCGCCCGACGATTCGTTCTCGTCCGTTTCCCGCGCACAAATACGCCACCGCCAATACCGCCAGCATGTCGTCCGAAACGCCTCGGCGACACCAACGGCCGTAACCCACCGCTCGCAACAATGACCGCTGCGATGTCGCCGCTCGTGCTGGTACTGGCGCTGCTGCTGACCGTCGCCGACCGGGTTCAGCCGACGCTCGACGGTGGATCCGCGGCCGTCCGACCCGAGGCGGACGCCACGGCCACGGGCGTCTGGTCCAAATTTGGGCTGGTCGTCCAGAAGCACGTGGCCGGCCAGTCGACGCCGCACACCACCGAGACGTCGGGCATAATCATGAGGGCCCCTGACCCCCCGTCCCCCGGTGTCGGCCCGCCCTTGGCGTCGACGGCCATTGCGCCCACAGCCCTGGGCAAGTCGTGGACGCAGATATCCGTCACACACCCACCATCTCGGCTGCCGTCGTCACACCCGCCGGTAAAGTCTACGGCCGCGACCACTGCCAAGTCCGTGGTGGCCACCAGCACTCAAGAGGTCCGCCGAGACATACCGTACAGGTATCAGCCGACGATGAGCACCACCAAGCCGGTGATCACAATCACCTTCCCACCACCCCGCCTGTCCACCGCCCGACCGACCGTCGGTACGGAGGAGGTGACCTCCAAACGGGTCAGACAGTACGAGGACGACGATGACGACGACGACGATGACGATGACGACGACGAAGACGAATACGACGTGGACGACGACGAAGATCACGAGGACAAGGGTGAGGAGGAAGAGATCGAAGAGATCGTCGAGGTCCAACACATAGACTCTTCCGACGGTGAGTATAAAACGCGTCTGCAGATAGGTTTAATTGTACACGTAGTTGGGTCGGGCTGCAGGTGGGTCTGAAGTGAGAATGGATCCATCCGAATAGTCGTCTACACTTACTTTCTTGAAACCCGAGGACCCATAGACATTTGATATGTCTGACGACGGTGTTATCGTCGTATATTTACCAAAATATAGACATAAAGTTATTATATTTTATGCACAAAAAACGATTCAGAGTCTACGACGTTACGGATGACTTGATCGGGGGGCGTTCATCCGACAAATTGCATCTGATGCGAAAAAACGTTGGACGGTATTTACTTTCAATAACTCGGCTTGAAATCCATTGAAGTCGTCATTATTGCAATTGTCGCTAAAAGAAAACAATATTATACCCATTAAATGTGTACGCTGATCGTTAACTGCACGATATCGAGTTGTGGTTTCGACCTTGGACACGGTGCTGATTCGATAAGCCCGTGTGTTTACTATAATATTATGGTTCATTTGGTGGTGGCTTATTATATTGGTTTAACATATTTATATGATTATTTTATATGGAGACAAAACGCGTATCGATGCAATAGTGTATTTCCGGAATACCTGTTATTACCCGCGGTTGATTGCCTAGTCCGGTCTGAAAATCGTTAAACGTTGACCACTATCGAACGTGCAGACGTATTGATACTGCGGTTATAATGTCGAGGGTGCTCCATCCCTTAAGAACTACAAATTACCATGCGATGGTCAGCAACAACGTCAGAGTGTGGGATCAAAAATGTATGCGAGAGAGTTTAAAAAAAAAAAAAACAATCATTTAAAACTACATTATAATATGCGTCACTCCTGATGGGGCCATATAGTATTTTTTTTAATAATACAGTTTGACTTTTCGTTTGACACGTTACCTGTGGACTAGGTTGTGCTTGTGACGGAACATGGTATAAGGATATGATAAATTATAGACTGCTGCATACGTCGGTCGACATTTCAGCGGCGGCAATGTTATAATATTATTGCGATACGTACACAGTGATGTGCTCATCTGTAACATTATAGCCCAATAAACGGATGATAAATCGACTTGTAAGTCTACTTTCTAAAATCATCTTCCATAATGCGCGGCGCAAAGCGAATTCAAACGTTTTTATTTAGAGTAGGTATACCCTATATAATACACGATGTAGGTATACGACTATATTAAAGTGTTTTACTAGATTTCTGAGAGACGTCGTTACAATGACGCTGCATGTTGGCGGCTAGTGAATATTAGAAAAATAAATAAAATGCCATCGTAAGCGACGAATAATTACGGCCATCATTCGTGCTGCAGGTGGTAGAATAATACCGCGATGGGCATAGATCGCTTGAAGAACATTAACACCACGTTTATAATACGACTTTATGCATTTATACATTTCTAGCTACCTACATATAATATAATGTATATGTGTGTATACAATATAGGCCAGGTGTTTTATTTTCGGTCTGTTTATGAATCAAAATTGTATTAGCGATCACATCGGACGTCGACGATATGAAAATAAGTACACAATATACATACGTGAGTGTGGATCGTAATTGTTGGGTATATAATTAGTATTCTTCGTCCTAGTCATCTCCTAAACATCAGGGTGGATGGCGGCCAGAGATACACGTGGGTATACGTGGTTTTATACTGCCGCCGTTCTCCGCAAAATTATTTAAAACCCAGCACAGTTTTCATATTTTGGCAGCCATCATTGCATCGGGATGCTATTACTATTATTGGAAATTGTGTGCCTTTTTTTTTATTACTGTTGTGGTTTTGCGCAGGTTACGGGGAAGAGAAGCCGGCGATCGTTAAAAAGAAACGCAGGCGGAAAAAGAAGGGCAAAAAGCACAAGCCGTTCAAGGTGAAGGACTTCAAGAAATTGAAGAAGTTCATGTTGCCGCTACTGTTGGCGTACAAACTCAAGTTCTTCACGCTTGTGCCACTTATGTTGGGTGGACTGGTGCTGATCGTGGCCACCACTGGTTTTGCTGGGTTCTTTTTCGCGTTGTTTGCGGTCGGCCTGGGTCTCAAGGGACACCACTGATGGTTCTCCGATCAAATGGTATTTATAATATTATTATGCGAGCTATATACGCACTAAATATTTTGTAATTATTATTCTACAATTTGTATATATACACGAGGTATACGTTAACAGAATTCGTCATCCATTTATTGAACACAAAAAAAAATTAGAATTAATGATGATTTATTCAGTAAGCCATAATATGGTCTTGTACAAGTATATAAAACATTAGAAAACTATTACTTTTAATAAACCCATTAGTTCTACTTACCACTAGATGACATTATTTCGTAGGCATTTGTGTTATTAAATAATTACGAATTCCGAATCATATATTTTGCATAATTAAATATAAATACATCATGAAAAATAAATAGGTGAATAAATAATTTATTCAAACAAATAAAATAATAAAGCAATGTTAATATGGTACATTTGATATGTTAAAGAATGCATGTCATTATAGATTCATACTGAAAAAAAATCATTTCTTTGAATAAATATAAATAATTTCCACACTTCTAAAATATTATTCTCATATATCTAAATAAATAACCGAAAATGAATGCGAAAATTATTGTGTAAAATATGTGTTATTATTATACTAATTTGATAGATATTTTTAGGGGACATTGTTAAAATAAATACCATATCAATTATGAAAATGACTTTCCAAACTTAATTTTGTATATATTGTACCATAATTGAAATGAACAAATAAAGAATTAACAAATTGGCGCCAACATATTTTATACAATTGTGTACTTCCAAAAGCTAATATTATATATTTATATTACATTGATTATTCTAAAATAAACAATTGAAATAATAATATAATAATACAAATTAATAATTTAGTTATGAAATAAATCTTATAATATTTTGTGTGTATGTGTTCAAAAAATTAAATTAACACAAACCAACGGTTAAACTTTAATGATACAACAAATTTAAAACAGAAGTTCAAAATTGAGTTATGAAATAGTTTCGATTGGTCAACCGCACACATTAAAAGCTACCTATATTATTCAGTAAAAAAATATAATATACTGTAAATAGCAAAAATAAATAAAGAAGTGCTTATTTATATATTTAATTTTGATCATAATAATCAGGAAATAAGTTCTAGTATTAATCTTGTATTAGTGAATAGCTAATGAAATTGATTCAATCGAATTAATATGTAATAGATTTGTCAATAATTTTATACCAATGACACTAGAGTTAAAATTTGTTTTATTTTAATATTAATTTATTACTAAATTATTGGTCGACTAAAAATAATGGTTTTCTAATGTTTCAATACTATCAGTGTACTTAAAACATATTTCAATGATGATACATATTATTATGTACCTACAGTTTCTAGATTTACATGATATTAGTTGGTCTCTAAAGGAATACATTTTTTTTTTTTTGGAATTTAGGTCTGGGTAATTTAATTTGAAAGGATAATTGCATGTGTAACTCAAACACGTGCTACAAAATAAAACATTCAACACTAAATTTCGCGCATTAATGCCTCGCGAAATCACATATTATTATATTTACATGCATTTAATTCTTAATATGGGTTTGCTGCTTGCAGCACCGTGTCAAATTTTGTTACAATCCGATTCTTTCAATGCGTACCATTTTATTATTTATTCAAGTACTTCATACTCAAATTTTACTATGGCATCACCGACATTATAAAACATGTGTACTTTTTAAACTATTATGCATCATGTATCATATTATTATAAGTTAATGAAATAAGCAGCTAGGTATTTTTAGAATAATGTATCGCAGTAAATATACCTATTTAATGTGTATGTTAAGTTAGTGGAAACAAATCAAATAAAGTCATATTCAAAATTAACATATAATATGTTGCAATAAGGTACCTAATTTTGATTTGTCTAACACCTATGATTCATATTTAAGGAATAGTTTTTCAACCATGAATAAGATTATGAGCTTAACATATTTAAATAAATAATAATATGTTTTATGGCTGTTGCGTGTATAGAAGGGAATAAGACAATTGGGGCAATTTTCAATTAATATGGACTCTGGTAACTATCTCGTAGAAAAAAATTGTTCGTGTAGTTTTTTTACATCAGAATATTTTATGATTCTATTTTTTCTTATTTTAAATGCTATTATGTGAGGAAAATGAAAGAGTCATTGCAGCCAATATAGAAATGAGTTTTTTTTCGTTTTTGGAAAAGTGTATATTTTAACTTACTATACCCTCGCATCGACGCACCGTCCCTGCTAGTTGGTAGCTAATGATAATATTAAGTATAAATTAATTATGTGAACTCATAATTTAATCTCGTATCAATTATTTCCTAATATTGTATTAAGATCTCATAATATACATTAATTACTATTAAATAATAGCATAGAGCATAATATATTGTACTATATATTTTATACTCAATGATAATAGTCATTAAACCTAATAGTCATTAAGTTAATGTTTATAACTGCATGAAGGTTTTATGGGTGATCGATATTTTCTTTTATTTAATTTTTTTTATGTTTTTTATGATCATAAAACATGTTTGTACTTACACATTATTTCTCTGATCATCTGGAGGACCTGCTCAATATTGAAAAACGACAGTAAAAAAATTAGAATCATAGAATCGTTTCAGCTTATAAATATTTGATTCTCTTGGTTTAGTTCTGGTCTATTTAACACCTCGTCGGTTGTATTTGCACGACCTGGATTTACATTATATTTTGTATGCTATTCATACGCCAACACTATTATTTTGCAAAACTCTATAATATCTAATATTAGCATGATAAGTATACACATTTCATTGTACTCGTATATATGAGAATTATTATAATATTATAATAATATTTATTATACACCTCTACTCCGGCAAAACTATTACGTTTATTTTATATTGTAAGGTTTTCTCTTTAATGAAACAACACGTCATGTGCTCACGTTTCTACATATGCATAGTAGGTATGCGTATACAAATCAAAAATCTGATTAACTGAATTAAATATGCATTCACGCAGACATTTTTAGACCATTAAAATAAAAAAAACCATCCATCAAATTTAAAAACATATTTCCTTCACTCTATTTACATTGTATCCATTTTAACACGATATGTTAACAATTATGTTATAATTCCAAATGTTATATGGCAGTCAATTATATCAGTATAGAAACGTATTTTCAAATAAAAGGATATTTTAAAAATGGTAATACCTACGATAAAAACGCTTTTTTTATAAATCCTATCGAACGGGAATTTTGACAAGTACAAAATGTACATTGATGGCTCTAATTACAATATTCTATAATAGGCAATATATGTTATAGTACGAACTACAACAGTATAGTTCATAATATATTATTATACTATTATAGAACACGAACAATTGTAAATTGTATTGTTTAAATGCTTGTGTACAGATTGTATTTGTTTTTTTTTAATTATTCAAGATATAATATAAACATTAAATGAATACACCTTCAACCTTGAGAAAAGGTAAAGGTACCTATAAAGCTTGTAAATTTTTTTAAATGTTGAAACCTGTATAGAGGATAAAATGATGTATGGTTTTAGTAAATTAATTATTCATTATAGTGATATTATCAGAAAAAAAAAGATCATTACTAGATTAGATTTTGAAACCTATAGTAATTTTATAACTATTAGCTGTTATGACACTATAACAAATTTGACAATAATTTAATAATTATTATTATTATATTTTATAATATTTGATGGAAGCTCGTAAATAACTCACAGTTACGCAGTACTACTTAGTAGTAGCTTAATTGCCCAGAAATTAAAATAATAATGATAAAAACCTGATGAGATATTTATGTTCGAGCTCAATCGAATTTAAGATCGAATTTCATTCATATAATTTTGTTCAACACTGCTTATTAAGCACTAAATGTTTTAAAATTTGAATTGATTGCTAAATGTTAATTGTAGTTATAAAATACCTTTTATTTCAAGACTGAAGTGCTTAATTATCCATAAATCATTAAAACATAATGCAAAAATATACCCTAATTATCGTTAGTATAATTTCTCAGTTTACACTATTATTACGGCTTCAATATTGAGATCACTATAATATGTATGTAATGTGACTTACTAAAAAAATATTTGTTTAATATTTCATATGCAATTATTATTTAGGTGGGTACGTTAATTATTTTTATTCTAATCGTTACGAAAATAAAAGTAGTTTATGCGAAACAATTAGCTCCAAATAAAATATTGTCAATTATTATAATATTCACCTATTATATATAATTGTATTTTCTCAGAAACTCGTCAGTATATTGTTTGTTTGATATTTATATTTTTATTGTTATCGTTACCTATGTATTTAAATGCGAATATTATTAAACTGGCGTGAAAACGCCGATGTGCTATTTACAAATTACAATCGTGCCAAAAACGATTTCACTATCACTGGCATGCTTAATTTGGTTTTTAAGAAATATTGGGCTAAATAATAATAATTATTATTAACAAATACGTCGAAGTGTTTATCATCATAATACTGTCCACCGTGCGAACATAATATGGTTAATATAGACGTTATGGCAATTATCGTCTTTGTAATGTGTCCTGTTTTTTATTTGTATCATTTCTCTGGACATAAAATGCATTATTTGAAATGTTTAATATTTGTATATGAAATGAGATGAAGTGTGCTGTATTTTCATAAAGGTTGAAAACCACTGGTCAAACTCCCGAAAACATAAGTAGCTCACAGGTCATTCCCAACATGACTTTGAGTCAAAAACGATTATCTTTCATCTTTCCTAGGATTTTTACCAGAAAACAAGAAACAAATTTACATGATAAGTATTCCTTCATTTCGTATTTGGGTTTTTGTATTTTTGTTCATCTCTCGAACATCATATAATACGGCATAATAATACTACATAATTCCACCAATTTCATCTCACAGTGTACTAAAAATTTGCTAGAGATTTGGGGTGAGTCAATCATCCTAACTTTAACAAACTCTGAAGTGAATCACAAGTCTGCTAAAGTCATCAACAATAAAATGTTATTTTTTCACGATTTCACTACTTCATTATTTTCGTTAATGAGTATGAATGATAAACGATACGATGAGGTCAGAGATGGAAATCTTCATAATTTAAATTGTCACTTTTAAAGTTTTAAATGATTTAACTACTTTTTAAAGGATCGTTGCTATTTTGTTTTATTATTTAATAATTATAATTTAGGTATGTTATATAACGAAGACGATTGTAATATTGTATTGCAGTCGAAATATTATATTAATAAATGGAAACCTAAATTCGTCGAAATAAAGCTAGGTATTATAAATAATTATTAATAATTGCTATAGTGGCCTGTTGTGCTTCAGTTTCTTATGAGCTCTGAATTTACTTTCCACCGGTACGGCTAATGTTGCTAACTCCCAGATGGGTGACCATCCAGAATTATCAGCAATAAACCCTTGTCACATATACACAGACAAGTGTTCGAACTAATCGTTCCAACCCCTATAAACAGCAAATGGCCAAAGTTGCAGTTCTTGAACTCAATAAAAATTTAAAAAAAATACATTTGTTAAATTCTTCCAAGTAAATTATGGTGTCAAACTTTTTACAATATTTAATTTTTAGTTGTTAAAATATATTCATAGAACAAACAATAACAATAGTAGTTGTGTGCGTGGGTTTGAAGAACAGCGGAAGTTTGTTATAGGAAGAAGATGAAAATCAGGCCGCCGCCGCCGCCGCCGCCGTCGATAATATTGTTCACAGCCTATAATAATGTAGGCTACGCGTTGTGAATTTTATTTGTCACGGAATAAATTAATTAGCCCGAATACCCTACCCACGGCATCTATCCGACCATCGACGTATATTATATTATTCGTCCGACACGATTCGATTCGGACATCGTGCGATAACCACTCGGCACTCTATTACAGGGGGATGGAAGGGGTCCGTCATGAAGACTCGTGGGTATAATAACACTGGAGTAGGCTATAGTTATGTTGTTATTATTATCTTATTTTTATCGTTGTTATTTGCTATACTCGCGAGGCCGCGTGCGTCGTTAATCGATTATGATAATATGATAATGTGTATACATCCAAACAGACGTGTTAAGAAATTACACTCAGGCACAGTGTAGCTGATATAGGTACGCTTATAACCGCAACCGCCGCCGTAGTAAAATTATAATATACTCTCAATATAGGTAGATAATACAATACTATCAAGTCATTATGACGAGTTTTATGATGTGAGCTAATTATTTCGAGTTTTTATATTATTATTTATTTTTCGTCTCTGATTATTCATATTATATTTACTGTTCACGCGTTTACGTACCGTTACGTACGAATTTCATCGTGTGTGTATAATATTATATTACTATACGGTCAATGCTAATAATATGAGTTATAATTTGAGTGTAGTAGGTACCTATATTATAATATAACATTATACTATTATACATTGTACTATGTGAGACATCGTTGTATATAATATCATTATTATTACATACTTATATATGGAATCGGGTTGACGGGACTGGCGAGTGGGTTCCCATGTCCGCGAGAATTCCGACGATTCAGATGCTCTATGACTGCGGCCGAGTTGATAACGGTCGTCGGTGGTTTGTCGTTTTGTTAAAAAGTGTGACGCAAAAACATATTACAAGGATAATTTATTGTATTCATGGAAAACGACGAAATAAAAAAAACATTCCATGCACACACGCGTCTCGTAGGTATTGTCTTCTCAACTGTACGACGTTTTTCTTATGGTTACAATATAGGACGAAGTAATACAATTATAGTGTTGATATAATATTATGTCATATGCCTGCTATGATGATGATGATTGATGAATGAATACTTTTTCAGGTTTGCTGTGTACAACCACGCGTCACATGGAAGAAGTGCAGGGCGCAGGGTGATGGCATTCATGTCTCTCGTCAGCGGACACACAAAAGACGCGAAGAAAGGTCAACTCAAACAAAAATATACGAAAAACGACAAATAACGATGAGAAACAAATCATCGTTATAATGTATTGATATTAAATAATAGAAAATTTATTATTATTATTAATGTCGTTATCAACCTTGATTTAACATATTTAAGGCATATCTTAAAGCTCTACTAAAAAAAAAGAGGTATATCTTAAATCGTGTTATCAACTCGTTGACATACTATAATTTAATATTAATTATCCTTGTATTGCTCAAGTCCGATTATACCTTAATCAATGATCTGTATTCGCTGTGCAGTATACGGATTTAATTTTGTTTTTTTCCTCTATCGTAATGTTCTTTTCGTATTTCGTATTAATCAGGCTTCGTTCGTATTTTACATACAAACCACACGTCGATTGACGTGCACATTATTTTTAACGAGATATTATTGTTATAATTAATTATTATATTATTTATTTATTTATTATTATTATCGTTAATGTGTAAATATACAGTTATAATATTAGTATTATATAAAATATTTAACCGTGAAACAACGCATATTGTACAAACGTTATAACATTATTATCAGAACATATTATTATTTATTATTGACGGTATCAAGTTCAATTTTTTTCATTATTGTCGAAATTAATTTATCTTTTATTTATTTTTATAAGAATTGGGTGAAACGAAAAAATTATGACACATTTCGAATTAACTCGTCTTCGTGGTTTGACGCACGTCAATATAGGTAATACCGCGGACTGAATCCAATTGCCATGATATCGTAATAATTATTATATTTTGTGCCCGTTTCGGGTAAATAATGATAATATTATATAGGTAACATATTTTATATGTTTAGTAATTAAATAATGTTAATAATATTGTATCAATCATGTACATCATCTGATTTTACTGTCCGCTGCATTATTTGACGTGAATTAATACGAACATTGTCATAATTTTATCAATCATAATGTTATGTTATGTTATAATATAATTATATAATTATGTATTAATCTATTTTTTACCTTTAAAGAAATATACATAACTTGTTCTAAAATATACTAATCTATAAATACTAAATCTGCGTAACGAAGGTTAGGTTTTTGAAAACACTAAAATACTTAGATTCATATATAAAATTGCTTTATTCCAAAAATTAAATTATAGATATCAAGGTATAGGTGAATTTATAATTATAAATATATATTATAAAATAAATACTTAAGGAATAGGTTAAACATAGGTAGATAAGAAAATTATTAAACACAGTAGGAAAACTGACTAAGAACTTTTAAAACTATCCATGTGAACCTAAAATAACGAATATACGCATGTTTCACAAAAATAATTTCGCTCAAATTATGTAAATTATATTCTATCCTAGATTTCGTTTATAGTTTTTCATTTTAGATTTTAAGATATTGTGAAATGTAGCTATTAGTTAATCATCGTTATAATATATCACTTATCACAGTATATTTCATAAATTCTTAATAGGTAAATAGTATTTGAATAAATAACAATAGGTACTATATAAAAGCATCCACATGCTTTTACACAATGCAATGTGTATTGAATACCCTGATAGTTCTATAATTTTTAACATTTTTATAACAAAAATAATACAATAAAAACATTTGTTAACTCATCATTTTATGAATAAACTTTTATTTTGTGTATATTTATCTAAAAATCATAATATCAAAGTGCGTAGTTATATTGATTTAAAATAAAATACAAAATATATTTTTGACCTATTTACCTAAAATGTTTAAGTACTTAAACACTAAATAATTAAGAACGATATAATATCAATATGATAATATGTAGAGTAACTATACAAATAATAGTTTGAATTGTATTCAATAATTTTAGTTATGCTCGTATTGTTTGATTCTCACAGCGACTGGAGAGAAAAACAATAATGATAGTATGACTTGCATTTTGAAATTCGTTATTAAATGTAGGCATGATTTTTTTTCAATCAAATGTTTCTTGTTTGATAGTTTCGCAATATATAAAATCGGACCATAAAATAGTTATAAGTAGTTATAGGCCATATAAGTAACATATAAGTATGAAATATTTGTGAATGTCCTCAATTTATATAATACATTATGCATCTAAATGTATATTCAATTTTGAATGTCATTGATAATATTTTTTTTTAATTTAATGAAATGTCGACAGAAATTATTTAGGCTTTATCTCAACTTTTATTTGGAAATAGGGGAAAAAACAAGAAAAACTTAATGATCATAACAATGGATAAACAAATAATGAAAATAATAATAATATCAACAGAAATAAACAGATCACATGTGAAACACACAGTTACATTTTTAAACCATTATGAAGTATACAACTAAGGTTGGATTTGATTATGATGATAATAGGTAGGTATAGATATTTGAGGGAAAAACATAGGTGGTAATTGAGAAAAAATTGAGATCAAGAGAATAAAATGAGTTATTTAGATTTTAGATATATTCTAAGGTGTGAGAGAAAATTACAATAATAATTGGTCAGTATTTGTCCCACCACAATAAGGGAGGGTTCAGTGTTCACCATCATTGAGGCTTAATTAATTTGTAGGAGTGGTGCAGTAGCAGGTTATGTCTTCAAATGAAAGGACAACTAAATAAAACATAACCTCAACTTTTTCCAACACAGACTTGGCAATCTAAATACTCAATTGTTTGAAAAAAACAGTAACAAAATCAAAACCTGACTCTGTGTGGAGTGTGGACCCAACATTATGTGGCCAGTGCGTATCCAACTGGAGTATTTTTCTATGGCAGCACGGCTAACGATAACATTTTGTTTATTATGAACAGTTAAACAATGTATCGGTGATGTGCCTATTAACCACTCCAATGTTGTATGATAATTTAACAATTTAATATTTCCATGTTTGCATAGTTAGACACATATTGATATAAAACTTTATGTCATAATACTTTTTAGATGCATATTATATTGTGTTTTAGTATAATAAAAAAATAATTTTATAATTAAACTTACCAAATGATTCATTTTAGTTTTTGTAATTTACAATACAATATAATATATAACAATTAGTGTTTATAAATAAACTTTAAGAATTTTTTTTTTTATTGATCACTTAAGACACCAACATCAAACGTTATTTGTTAAACATTTTACAAGATTGTTATATTTTTAAAATAATAAGATAATTTCGTAGTTATAAACAACATATTTTATCAGTTAAATCTGATTAGACAGATTCACAGATTCTTTTCGAGAAGCTGACATACTGACAACAGTCAATATTTTCTGTGTTCGCGCCTTTGGAATTATAATTGTATTTAGCTATAAAAAAATTACGAGAGCATTTATTACATAATATCTACTTTTTCAATTTGTTGAACTCTAATAAAGACTTCTTAGTGAATATTTATTCCATAATGCTCATAAAGTAGTCACATACCGTTACACATTATAATAAACGTTATAAAAATGTAAATGAATCGTAATATTTTTTAGACTTCAACTATCAAAATAAACCATGTTAAGATATCAATAAATAATAATACATTTTAAGCTTATTTTAATTTAGTGTTATGACGTTATAATTTTGTATCATTTAAAATGAATTTCAAAACATTTTTTTAAATGTAAGATTTATTCATAATTGTTGACTTCGCAAACTGTTTCTTTTTAATCATCAAACATTTACATTTGTTGTTTGGATAAATAATACATTGTTGTACCGAGTGATGTGCTGTGGGTCAATTTAAAAGTCTTATTTACATTTTCCAAATTTAGATATTTTTTTAAACTGTGTTATATATTATTATTAATATAATGTAGTATTAAATATGAATGTATATTTAGGACAACGCTGTTATTTTGCCGTCTAATATCGTATTTACAATTTATTTTAATACAAACAATTAATGAATTTATTTCTTACGGGGATAGATACAAAAATTAATAATTATGGAATAACGATTGAATATTGATAACATATTTAGCCATTGTAATATTGGCATAAACTTACTAAATAATATTCCCATACGCTATAATAACCATAATTAGCAAACAATGTTGACATACAATATGGGAAGTACTATATACCAAAGTGTTATTCGGATTTTATAATCCTGGATATTTCAAATCTTATGAACTTTAAGGGTGGAAAAAGTAGGAAAGTATCTATTTACCTATTTATAAATGTATATTAATCTTACTAAAGCCTTATATCAAATCTTGTAGAGATTTGAAATTAATATTTTATCATACCTTATTATTTTTTTAAACTATTCATAACATTTTCTTATAAATGTTATAAAATTAAGTTGCGAATACGAATTATCGGCTATTATATTATACTCAATCATATAATATTAACATTTAATTCTGATTTACAATACGTTACACTGGATATTAAAATATCAAAGCGCCGGTGATTTTTTTGTGATGCTATTTTTGATAATATACCTATACTTATAGGGTATAAAACGTTAGTACATCTCCAAATAGTTTCGTTACACTACTTTTTTTATATTATAATTTATTACATAACTGCAACAGTTATGATAGGACGGTGTAACGGAAACGGTAAAAAAAATATTGTGTATTGTGATGATCAAAATGATCATAGTCTTAAATATGTACTTTAGTGATTCAGTAATGCAGAAAATCCTATAATATATTATTATCTCCTAGGAAAAAAAACAAAATGAAAAAATTTTAACATAGATATGAAACAAAAACTTGCTTGAAAAATAATGATAATTTATAAAGTAGATATATATTATGCGAATACAATTTCAAAATATCTTAAGCCCTGTTGTTATACAGTTATCAGATCAACTGTAGTTTTCTGAAGAAATCATGTAATACGCAAGTACATAAGTGTTGGCTACTTTTAAACATATTTTTCTTGTTTTTGAATTTAGCGGCAGAATCATTTTAGCGTAAATTTAAAATTAAGCTAAAAAGTTTAAGGAACTAGTAAGTTACATTTTTACAAAAAAAAAAATTCTAAAATGTTAGTTTTCACTAAGAGAGTTACGGAATCGTGTTTCAAGCTCTGTTTTTACCACTATATTATGTTTTAAAGGAGTTTCTTAAGACCTTTCAAATCTGGTTTTCAACTCGATGGAGTATTAACTATGACTTCAATAATAATTCATACATTCTTTATAATAGAATAATAAAAATGTTTTAGTAATTACCAATTATAATCATTGATTATACTAGTATTTATATTGTTAATATTTTTTTTTTCGTTTTTAGTTTTTATTTGTTCATAATTTAATATTAGATTTTAAATATTTTTCATGAAAGTTGTTTTGTTTAATTATTGATTAATATCGTTTTTGAATATAGAATATTATAGTATATTGACACACCAGTCTCCTACATTCTTTTCGAATGTCATTGGGCATTTGTTGTTCTTGATAACTTTTTTCACAGTTAATATTGTACATTTTATGGTTTAGAAATACTAGCTGCTGTATAATTTCTGTTTGTGGTTCTACTTATTATACTGTTACTTTTATAATGTCAAGTATTAATTTACAGTTGTAGCACATAATTCATAATAATACTAATATGATTGTGTGCAGTGTCAGTAAAATGGGGGGGGGGGGGGTAAAGAAATAAATGGTCCTCGCGACCTTTTTTTCCAACGTAGGTTATATTTTATAATGATATAAATTATAAATTATATTTTTATAATGATCAATTACCTATAGTGCATTATGTGTTAAAAACTTAAAAATCAACTAAATCCCTCTCCCCATAACAAAATCGTCTAACAGAAAATGATAGTGTGGATAGCTAGTGAATACGATGGATTTACGAATTAAAATTTAAAAAAAAATTACTACAACTGTCAACAGTATTATAATATTTTAATAGCAATAAAATCAGGAAAAGCGAATATTTTGGCCTAAATGTCAGTGAAACGACGTTTCTCTGGGGTTCATCTACATAGATACTTGACATAGAATCGCAATATCTATGACCGCTTCAAGCAGTCGACCGGTCAAGCGAGCACAGAATATTATATTATTCGAGTCTGTACCGACCGCGAGATCCATTGTCTTGCACCGATCTCGTTACACGTTTCAATTGTCCGAAACGTCTCCCAAAAACCACCGGGCCACGTGATAATCGTATCCGAAATTCATCCGAAGCCTCTATCCGCGACGTATAAATACTCGCACGTTACCGATTAATTGTCCATTCGAAGTCGATCGTTTAATCGTTATAAATCGTCGCCGTCGCCGCCGCAGCCACATCATCAGAATGTCGCAGTCTTGTTGGTTCAATAAGTCTTTGATCGTCTTAAAGTCGTCGTCCTCGTTGTCATTGTCGTTACTGTTGTTGTTGGTGTTGTCGATGATGCTTCAGCAACATCAGCTGTTGGCCACGACGGTGACGCGCTACAATGCCGGCGGTATAGCAGCCGCGCTACACGACGAGGGCGAGAAATGCGCGAGGTCCGCCGACCTGTGGCCGTGTCTTACCAAAGGTGGTGCAAAGGTCGTGGCCGCCATGGCAACGTATCCAGGCGAGATACCGCTGATGGGCCAGTACTTGACCCTGGTGCCGGACGGCCGTGCGCGATCCGTCGGTGACATCCGTGACGAGGGGCGAGCGGCCGTGAACAAAAACGGCAATTCGTCGTCGTCGTCGTCGTGGCCGTCCACGTCGGTATACTCGAAAATCGCGGAATTTATGGAGAAGAGGTCGCTGCGGATGTCCGTGCCCATGGACGCCGTCGCGTGGCTGATCGGCGTGACAACGTCTGTGCCCGTCACCAGGGAAGAGGGGAGGAAGAAGGACAAGGGCGCGGGCGTGCTGATGCTGGGTGGAATGATGATGATGACCACGCTCATGTCCACCGCGTTTGGGGCTCTGGCACTGATGGCCGCCAAGGGGCTGTTGACCAGCATACTTGCGTTGATGCTGTCGGCGATGGCCGTGTCGAAAAAATCTGGTGGCCACGGCCACGCCAGGACCACGTACGAAGTCATAAATAACCCTGGTCCACACCAGGCGTACCAACATGTGTCCGATTACAAATTGGAAAATGGCGCGGCCGTCGTGTCGGATGTAAGTCTCAGACCTCAGTCACTATTTATTTAATTATTAATCATCAATGTTCGCTAAAGCCAAATATACGTAAGCTAAATAATATGAAAAAAAAATGTATTGATAAAATATATCTAACCTTTAATATAAACCTACAGTATATTTATAAATAGGTATACACTAAAACAATAATTAAGTAACCCTAAACTGTTAAAAAATGCTAAATAAAAGATACACTTTTTAAGTATTTGAAATATTAAATATTAATCATATACTTGGAATGCATTGACCTAGACTCTAAAGCATCCAAAACATACCTAAAGAACTTTGCATCGAAGTTTGGGCCCTCCCTAATTAGAATCAGTTAAATGTATTACAAACACTTTTATAACCCGTAGTAGTATACATTTATACCTCGGAGTCTACAACTTGTGTATTTATATAATAGTATGTGAATAATCAAAATATTTTTCAAAATATCGAATGATAGTCCTTGTTGAATTCAATTAGGTATTGCGCTAAATGTATAAAGTATATACCCGCATATAAGTGAACTTGATATAAAATTATGACTGTATAATTATTATTATTTTAATGCATAATATATTATGTATTTATCCCCCCTCTGATTAATACTCGTATACGAAAAACCATGATACATATATCATTCTCATTGAACATTATACTCTCACTCCCTTGAACTATATACAAATGTGTGCCCCCCCCCTCCCGACAATAGAAATTCCTGAGTACGTAATCTGTATGATATTAAAGTAGTTCACTTTAAAATATTTTGATTTATTACGAAATAATAAATGAACGTACATAATATTACTATCTAAAACCATAGATTAATTTTATATTATGATGTATTTACCAAATTATTATTATTTATTATTATATATTATGTTATTATATATTAAAATATAATTATTAATCTTAAAGACAATAAGTCAACACTTAACAGACATAAAAGTATATTTATTTCATTTCAAAACACACACATAAAATATATAAAGATATAAAAAAAAAAAGTGAGGAGATTATTCTTCTTCGTAGATATTTATGATAAAAACAATAAAAATAAATAAATTAGACAGCAGTCATTAGTTTAACTTCTATATTATAGACTTAAAAAAAATGTAACATTTATTTTGTATTTTTAGATCAATGCTGGTCAATACAACGCAGCTCAAACCGAACCTATTCAATATGGCAATCAACAATATGATTAAAATTAACAATAATATTATATTATTATACCTAATGGTTCAAGATACTACATAGTATAATATTTATCAATGGGTTAGGCAAAAACTGATATTATGTATTTAATTTATTCATTGTTACTAGATAAATATAATATACTTGTAGAATATATTAATATTATTAATTTATTATGTAAATTGTAAATTATTGTCATTTGTTACTGAAAAATAAAAATATTTTGGCAGTAAAAGTTTTTTAGGTCATTACAACCGTTATGTCATTACGAGAAGATTTTTTCTTGGACGAGGATTCCGTCGATTTCCAATTTACAGATATCAAAAACTTGGCGACGAACGTGAAAAACAGCGCTTTTCCAAGCGTCACGGTTATCATGTTCAAAAACGTGAATATCACGACGAAAGCTGCCATCATGCTGCCGCCGATCATCATGTTCATAGAAGGGTTTTTGATTTTGATTTTCTTCTTTTTCTTCTTTTTCTTTTTCCTCCCTCGTCCTTCAATCAAAATATGAAAAAAAAATTACATCTAACAGACACAACCGTCATATTGAAACCGAAAAAATTTGACTGCGTACCTTCCGATAGACCTGTCGCCGACTCCTGTAGGGACGGATTTGGACCTCCGACGGCCATCTCCTGTGATCGGGCTCGGATCGCCGAACCCACGTGGCTGACAACAAAGTAACTACTATTATGTTGGTGGTGTTGTATGGTGTTGGTGGTGTTGGCGGAGTTGTTGATGGTGGTGATGGTGGGTTTGGCGGTGGTGTTGGTGGTGGTTATCGAATGGGGTTGCTCTTTCGCGCCCGCGGTGTGGGCGGCCTGGAACGACAAAGCCGCGAAAATCGCAAAACCCAACTTCTTCGAATTCATGACAGTCATCCCGTCGACGGTCACGACGGAAACTGTACTGCGTTATAGTGGCCGGACGTGTTTCTACACGGCAGGCCGCCGCGTAAGTATCGTAGACACGGACGGGTGCTGTGGCCGACAGGCGTCTGCTCGTTGCGGTCGGAAACCGTCACGCGCATCCGGACATGTGGGTCCTGATCGAAAGTATGCTCGTGGTAAGCCCACAATACTGTACCCACACATAGCATTACAATAAAATACGTCCAAGTGCACCTATAAATGATAGATATTTATGTCATTTTGCGGCAGTCTATATTGTAAATAATATATAATATCATCGCACGGAGTCCACCTCGTCAGAGTCTGTTCATTAGTTTCGCGCGACGAGTCGATCGGCCAATTAAAGACAGACGATATAAAATAAAAAAAAAAAATCGAAAACTAATCGAAAAATAGAAACGGCACCGGACCGAAGTTATATATACGCGGACAGACGTCTGCGACCGCATCAGTGCGAGTCTCGACACATCCGAACGACGACCAGGGCGACCTTATCGTTACAATATACGTATTTATAATATAAAATTATTGATTTCAAGTATACTTACGTACAAGTATACCTCCAACATGTCCACAATCATCAAGTGGTGTCTAATCGGGATCCTTGTCGTCGTGCGGTGTTCGTCGGGCCGAGGCGATTTAGGACCGGAAAGGTCGTTCGGCGCCCTGCGGTGCACTTCCGCCGACGGCCCTGGCACGTGTCTGTTCAAAGGCCTCGTCAAGAACGCCTTGCTGTACGCCGCGAGCCGAAGGGAAGACGTCTCGGCCTCTTCCGCCGATGACAGCAAAGTGGCCGATGGCGGCCATCTCCAGCAGCAGTCCAAAGGCATCGAGGAATACCTCATCGAGCAGATTCAGAACATATTCGGACTGTTTTCGTTCGGGTTCGATTTGCCGACCGAAGTTACCGCCCCGTGGTCGCTGCTCAAGTCGTCGTTCCTCAACGGTGAGTTAACCAAGTCCTCAGTTTCCTTGGATAATCCTACTCGTATATCAATGAGAGTTTCTACTATACACGATTGGGTACGATGCTTACAAATCCTTTGCTGTGATCGGTATGTCGGTATCCATGGTAAGCAAGTGATATACCAAGGTGTCAATACATAACTTTACTCTTATTTCACGACTAACCACTTTACCGTATTGTCGGATCTATATCTAGAAATTTATTGTGCGCACGGTACGCTTTATTGTTTTAGAATACTGATAATGGGATATGATAAAATGTATGTTAACACCGGTGATTAAAGGTATCAGGATTTGTTGAAAATTTGTATTTAAACTACAACCGCAAGCTACCTATAGCTTAACCAATGTGATACGCTTGCAGGGGAACTACAGATTGTAGCGAACAGACTGTGGAGGTTAATCGTACACTGTAAAGTGTATAGTCGAAACTCTCCAAACCCTCATTAAATCTTAAAATGTCCATATTCTTTTGCTACAGCGAAAAAATACTATATTAAAAAAAATAAATAAACTCAATGGAAGAAATATTGTAGGTAATTATTTTTTGCTACCCCACAATAATTGTCACTCTAGTGGCGCCAGCCCATGTTCGTACTTATTATAACCATCGATTAACACATAAAATGTCATGTCTTTACAATCATCTACGACGTTACATCCGGTTTTTTTAAAAAACTAAACAGTATTATGCTTTTAACGTGCATTTAATATTGTCTGTCAATTATAATAATATATTACCTACCTCCATAATATATTATATAATAATTGATATTGTTATCCAAATAAGTTGCAGGTCGAGGCAAAAAGAACAAGAACCTCGGCCCGATGCTGGCCGCCGGTGTGGCCATGATGGCCGGCACGCTGCTGCCGCTGGCGTTCGGCGCGCTGTTCATGTTGGCCGGCAAGGCGATCATGACCAGTCTGCTGGCCATCACCATTTCCGGGATGCTCGGTTTGAAGTCGCTATTCAGCAAACACGAACAGGGCCACGTCAAAGCGTACTCCGCCCCGTCGGCTCACTTCAGCGAGGCGCAGTTCGAACAGGAGCTGGGCGTGTACAAGGGCCAGACCGAGGCCAAGATGCACAGCTCGTCGGCCAACTACTACGCGGGCGAGTCCAACCCTCCGGGCGCGTACTTTAAGGGGGTGCGGCCACAGCAGCAGCAGCACCACGAAGAAGGGCCAGACCAACCGGCAGAGTATTACTCGTCAGCGGGTCTGATGGTGCCCAACAAAATCCCAGTGGTGGAGAAAAACGACTAGATGACTGCAAATCGTATATTTCATATTGTAGTTGGGTAAAATATTTTTGCCGTGTTACATTTATTAATTTATTAACGCTAACAAATAATTGTATTTAAAATTATAATTATTATTATTGTTGTTGTTGTTGTCGTTGTCGTCGTCGTTATTGTCCGTCCTCGCGGTGAGATTGTTATTCTAAGTATATTAATATTAAAATAATACACTATTGATATTTTTAAGACGAAATGCGCGATTTCATCTTTATTTTAGAGTAAAAATTCTTAAATTATTGTAACTACTGAAGTGTGAAGTGATGCGAAGGAGGGGGGGGCTGAAAATAATAAAAAAAAGACTATGTATTGTTAATGCGTACCAATTGTAGTATATAAGTGATGTAACATTGTAATCATATGATATTATTTATTTGTAAAATAAAGCGTATAATATTTTATATATCATTTATTTATAATTTCCACTTCAAGACAACTATTGAAGTCTTGAAATTTTTTTTTGTATCTTGAAAAGTTCATTTTCAGATGGATTTGATCCTGCACCGGTACACTTACGGATATCGTGCTCGTCTTGAAAGCTACATGCGTCTACACGAGTGGTTCTCAAAGGGGGCGATATTACTCCCCAGTGGGCGGTGAAGTGTCACCAAGGGACAGTGAACTAGTTTTGGGTGACAGAAGGGCCCCAAGCGTGTTCACGTAAAACCGTTGTACATGGTGTGACCTATAAAAATAATACATACTTGATAATCCATATAATAACTATTAGTCATTAAAAGGTACTATGTTGAGCAATGCACAATCGATTGTTGACAAAATTATTATCTTTATTATTTTAGCGATATTAGATTATGGATATTACATTTTATTATAGGTACCTATATTAATCAACCTTTTAGTACACCGTTTGATTTGACCCACGCATGTTGTGTTAGTTTTCGATATTATACTCGTAATATTCAGTCCCTTAAAAACGTGTTTTTTAAGAAATTTTTCCGTTTAATAAAATTGTATTCTCCAAAAATGTCGGATGCAAAAAGAATATGCCGTCAATATAACACGACGTATTTAAAGTTTGAATTTAAGTTTTTTTTAAATGTTTATTTTAATTTTTTAATTTTTTAAAATTAATTTCCTTATTATTAGTTACTAGTGAACTAGTTAACTATCCCACTAATCACAATTATCTTGCCATGAAGTGTATTACTGAATAGCTTCTTCAACCAAGTCATTAAATGACCTATTATGTAACCATCCGTTGTGCTTCTTTTAAATTTCTGTTACACATTGTACAAATTAATAAATATGTTTAAAAAAAAATTATTAGTTTTATAAATAAAAATAAAAATATATAAAATATAAAATATAAATAAAAACATGAATTATTAGATCATTTCAATTTTTTCTTTTAAATTTTTCAAATACCCTTAATTATAGAATTCTCACATTCTAAGGGTCGTTAAAAAATTGATTGACACTGAAGGGGATGAAAAATTTAAAAAGGTTGAGAAACACTGGTCTACAAAATACTGATGTTACTATAGTATACGGAAATCACTATTATAGCGATGAAAATCTCTGAAACATCGCTCGGGTTGTGAATGATTTTAACGTGATGTATCATATTTTATTATACCATATTAAGATAAATAAATAAAAAAAATATATATAAACAAATTTTAGATTTTTGACTATGTGTTATAAAAACGTTATAATATTATGACTCTGGAATCGAAAATACTGCAGCAACTGCAGTTAATATAGAACAGTGGTTCTCAAACTGTGTTCCGCGGAGCCCTGGGGCTCCACGAGAGTAATCTAGGGACTCCGTGGCTCCCATATATTATCTGTATTAATTAAATTCAAATTATTAAATTATTATTATATTTCTTAGTTGCATTTTTAATTTTTATACTTGTATTCATTATTATTTGGACCGTACCAATATGTATTATTTTAAGGTTTAAAACTGTAAACTATTTATAAATCCACATATTTGTTTATAATCAACATCATTTTCTATGAATTATTGTTGTCTCAAATAGACATTTCTGAATTTTGGGGGCTTCGTAATTTTTTTTTAGGAACATAAGAGCTCCGCGAACAAAAAAGTATGAGAACTACTGATATAGAATATTAAATTTTGAAATCTAAATCGTAAGATAAATAAATAACGATGGTCGGGTCATAAATTATCTGATAAGTTGGTTGACTACACTTGTATTATACGTACATTCGTTTATTTATAGATACACAGTCATGTGCTCGAGTTCTTCACATGACGTTTATGCAATTTGTCGTCTAGTCTGTTCATTCTCCGAACGAGTTCGACAATGGCTATACGCTTAAAGATTCACTTGGGACCTTCTTCAATGTTTGAAGCAGTATCAATTCATTATATCATATCGAATGTTTCAGATAAGTTTTCATTTTACTAAATACTACATTTTTCAACACTACTAATTTTAATAATACTCCGTCTAATAATACACATATTATTTGGCATAATCATTTAAGTGTCACTGTTTTTACAATATTGACAAAAATAATAATTTACAGTTCAGTAAACGAAACAGATGATTGGGATACCTACCGATCAGAGTATTGACCAGTGTCATAATCATAAAAATATCGTGTTATACATTTATACTATTATTATGGACGTTAAACTTAATGCCATTTTTATAAAAACAAGATAACTGGCGGTCAAATTATTTTTGTCATTGAATAAATAAGTATTATTTGACCTAATATATGTATAATTTTGCTTTATTTTAAGTGCCTATGAACTAATTTATTCATAGTATGAAATATATAATGACCTATACTATTTATAATTCATTGGGATGACATATTTCAGAGCGTAATAGTAATCAATTGTCAACAAATGTTTACATAATTACTATAATATATCGTGTAAGATATGTATAAACTGAAGTTTAAATAATTTGAATAAGAAAATATGAAATTTGTATTTAAGTAGTAGTACAGCTCATGAATTTGGAAGGTGGTCACACATTGTACGTGACATCCAAGATATTTGAAAAGTTAACGATTGTTTTGACACACATCACATATATTATTTACTATATAAGGTTACATTAAAATAATTTCGAGAAACTATATCGATACGCTTTATGAATTCAAAATAAATAATATTATTTGAATTCAATATTCGTTTTAAGGTTGTTAATATAATATTTGCATATTATTATGATATATTTATATAGTATATACTAAAATATATTAATATAATACCTTATTTATGAGGTAAGTATTATAATATTCATAAATCACAATCATAAAAACAAATATTGATATCACATATTAATATATTATATTAAATTAGAGTAGAGCATGAAGTTATTGGCAGGAGGGGATGTTATTTGTACCAAGTTATTTTGTTTTTAGTATATATAATGTTTTATTATGCATTTTAGGGTTATTTTCTTCTAATTATACATTAACACATCTTATGATACTGTTGTATTATCTTCTCTTTTTGTTATTATATTATTTATTTGATTGTTGGTAATTCGATTTTATAATGGAGCAGGTTAGGTGCCTATAACAGCATTTATATGTGTAATTTATGGTCAATAATCTTCTTTATCTACATTATTACAACAATCAATTAAATATTTTACAATCAACTGTAGTAATTTAAAGAACTTTTATGCTGAAATTTATTATTATTCATAATATGAGTATACTTTCATTACAAACAGTATGATTAGTTTTTGGTTTGTAGATCGTGTTTAATATCTTATAAATAATAATTAAGAAAAAAAAGTGTGGATATTTGTTTATGTATGTTTTAATGTTTGATCATTAAGTGTAAATAATTTGGTCTCAATGAAATACATATTATAATAAACTCCAAAGAAACCCCTTAGTGGCGGTTGACTAAACATTACTTCGTTAATTTTTTTTTGTGGTCTTAATATGCTCTAAAAATCTATGTTATTATATTATAGAAATGATCGAATATTTCTTTTACCAATGAGCTACATGATTAGAAGTACCCATAGTCTTAGATTAATTACTTTATAAATGCGTGTATAAAAATGTTCAATGATCAAAAAAAAAAGATAATACGATAATTATATCATTATATTGAAATTTTATCAAATGCAACAATGCTACAAATATCGAAATTAGTGTTTAATCACTGCACACTGCAAAATACCAATATAATATTTTAGATCAATGTCCTACATAATAATATGTGAATATCGAAAAAATTAAAATAATCATTGATTTGTTCGCTTGTGAGCGACCACTCTTATTTTTTGTTTGTATGTTGTAGATTTTCATAGTATCTTTGTACATCCATATTAAATGCATAAAAAAAGAAGTTTTGTGGTTTTATGGCCGAGATAATCTAAAAACTAATGACTCGATTCCAAAAACCAAATATCAATAAAACGGTATTCATATTCATATCAGCAAGAATTATACAAATAAAACCTAGCCAACTCCATCCCCGGAAATGTAAATGGCAATCATAGGAATACGCCTGTCCGAGCTTACTGTGATTTTAAAAAAAAAAAAGGTTAATCTAATAAAAGCCTAATCTAGTTGTTTAAAAATCAATATTTTTGAAATATTGTTTTACACTATTTTACAGAGTACGGTCAGAATCAAAGATATAGTGTACATATGAGGTGTAACAGAATCACCTGACAAATTGCTGAATATTAGACAATTGGTAACTGAAAGCTTCGTAGACGGCACGGACTATTCTATGTAATATGTGCATCATCATGAAATACCGAAATGCAGATAATATAATGACATGCACTCATGCAAGGTTACAGTAATGTCCTAGCCAGATATTTATTTTACTCAAGTATTTAATTTTTTTCTATATTTTGTAGAACTAGAAAAAACTTGAATACTTATCACGTGTTATTGACGCCATTATTCACTATCAAAAATTAGGGGGAGGCCATCAGTGCCCCCTTCGCTGAGTACGGAACTGGGCTGAAGTATTTGTGGACTTTGAAAACAGAAGCAATAAAAACAATTGCGAACTTCTCATTTCGAATATGATCGATTCGACTAGACTATCACTAGTGAAGTAGTAACACTTAATACAGACGTGGATTTGTATCCCATCATACTCTCCACTGAACCGATGAGAATGATGGAGATGGTTTAGAGAAAATCAGAGTACTTTATTTTGTTTTCTCTATCCCTAAAGCACGTAAGATATATTGCATTCAATCTAACCAACCTTATATTGTTAAATTTTTTTTTTTTTGTTAAGTTTAGTATTAAATTAAATTTCTATCACATACATATATATATATATATATATGCTGGATAGTTGACGATATTTTGATATTGACACCATACCTTCATTAAAATAATGCAAGTTATGAGTATAATATGTAAAAATTCACATTTTAAAAATATAATTAATAAAGCAGAAAATATGAAATATTGTAAGAATGCCAATGTACAAACACTTATTGTAATGTTCTCAAATTTGACGATGAGTCACTTATTGTTCATTCTTATACTATACATACAAATCGCTAACTATTCAAGATTTCGGGTTCTACAGAATTCAAACTTACAAGTGGCAAAATATCACTAATGTGTCGGAGAGTGAAAATAAAAAGGTCGATGACATCTTCTTAAAAAAAAAAAAACTACGATCGCGAAACACTCGAGCACCTGCGTACACCACATAATAATATTATACTGATCTACAACAATAGTATCTTAAAATATTTTATATTACTATTATAGTATTCTCTATATTTTTCCATATCAATGCAACATGATGTGGTGGCTACGTTATTATTTTATATTGTGCACTCCACACATAATTTGGCATGTCGGTTGGGTGGCAACACATATTATTATTATTATAGATCGCACGTATCATCAAACTCAGAAACTGTGATATATACAATATATAGTTATTACGTAGTAAAATATATGTCACTGAAACATATTATTACGAGTGTACGTTATGGGTTAGATCGATAACCGTGAAATCCGTGGTTTTAATAAACCAGTTACCAACGCAAATACGTACATATCTAGGTATACGTTTGAATAATGATTTTTCAATTTTATTTGCAACAGAAAATGTATACATAATTTATAATAGGTACTATTGTTTATGAAAGGTGTTTATTATAATCGATTATAATAATACAGTTATAACTTTGCTGACCACACGACAATGTCGTCGTACAATAAATTATTAATATAATAAATAAATATTAAAAATGCAATAATAAATTATTAAAAAAATATGATGCGCTGTACAATTATTTTCTTAGCGTTTACATAATTTTACAATAAATAATAAATATATTTGGCGTACCACGACGGGTGCAAAAAATAAAACAATAAAATGGCCCTAAAATGTGTTATTATTGTCCGTCGATCGATGGCGTGGGCGTCGGGGGGGTTTCAGCGGGCGGCGGAGGGCCGTACGCCATGGCGTGGCCGCTCAGCGAACGGCCGTGCGGGCCGTGGCCACCCTGCGACGGCACGTTGATTACCTCGTACGTTGTACCGCTGTGGCTGCCACCGCCTGACGCCAGTTTCTTCAGCGCCAGTATGGCGGACAGCATGAGCGCCAGCATGCTGGTCATCAGCGCCTTACCGCTCATCATAGCCAGCGCGCCCAGCTTGATCGGCAGCAGCGTGCCGGCCACCATCATGGCGCCCATCAGCAGCGGTCCCGCGTACTTGTCCTTCTTGCCCCGAGCTGAAACGGCCACAAAAACGGTTTATTATTATTAATATTATCGTCTGGGTGGTCTTATCAGGATTTCTCGACGACTATGCACATCAATCTCATATCTCGATAACTAGATTTTTTTTCTCTCCCTTTGAGACTTGTTTCAGGTATTTGAAAACCGTAATTTGAAAAATATTATATTATTTTAAGTTGAAAATATATATATTTTTTTTTATTATTTCCGTTGAGATTCGCTTAATCGAGACTTTACCATATTAATAATACTATCGTTGTTGTTTTTTGTAGAATCGATTACTGATGGTGTGAACTAATAAATGCATAGTGGCTACTTTACTCGATATACAGTATGTGCCTAGAGAGTACCTAAGTAGCCTAACGAAAGCAGTTTTTCCAATGAGGGATGGGTGAGGGGTTAGTAAAAACCTATATGGCTTATTATATTTATATTAGACATGAATGGTTGTTTTCATAACGACTGTGAAATCTTTTCGACACCACTAGCACATGAAAACATAATATAATTACTTATGAAATATATTGTGAGGATGCAGATAAATATTTCTAGTTGCTTAAAAATATATTCTTACATAAGCCCTATCAGCTTATCGTATTAGACTAGGTTCCTAATTTAAATACCCTAAAAACAATCAAAAAATGCTCTAAGACATACCGAAAACCCCCGAAAAATGCAATTTCATTTCGATTTTATTCTTCAAACTGGACACTAAAATTGTTCAATACAAATGAAAATACGGGCTTAACGAAATAAATGCTTTTCGTTTTGTGTAGATGTACCAATTGACGAATTAGTTGTTACTGGTTTGTGTCCCGGACGTATCATAATCGCATTTTAAATGGAAAAAGACGGTATTGACGTATCGATATTTTAAATATAGCACAATTATCGACAAATAATTAAAAATAGGAATACAATTTCTTGAGTTTATCTTTTGAAGTACTTATTAAGTTTAATCTATAAATGTATATTTTGCAATATACGCTAAAAACTATAATATATAGTTGTAATGTGCATCAAAATTAAAACAATTACCGAAAAATTACAAGCTTAAGTTTTTAGTTCTCTGATGCATGAAACGGATTTTGTACTCGAAAATCATTGCCCCGGGAACTTTCCAAAAAATAATGCATTTTGCAATGCGCGCCCTACTCGTTGCAAAAATTGTTGTGAACTTATTTTTGGATTCAAGTACCTTCGATGAGGGTGCTCTTGAGCGATTCCAACAGGTGAGCTGGCGCCCGGACGCTGATGGCACGGGACTTGACAAACGCCGTCAACGAGTCGACGAGCGCCGATTCACCCCCGACCGGCGCCGAAGTGGCTTCGATGTTAGCGCTTGTCTGCGGCGGTGGCGGTGATGGCGACGGCTGTGGCGGCGGGTCCGATTCACCGGCGGCGGCATTCTTGACGAGCGTCACGCAACCGGGAATCAGGTCGACGGGATCTGCGGACCGGGCCAGGGCGTCGACACCGGCGGCCGCGGCGTGCATCAGACAATCGACGGTGTCTGGGGCGGCCGAGCACTGGGACGCCGCCCTCACCACGGCCAACGGGACGACGGCTGCACCGGCCACCTGCAAGGACGTCGTCTGCAACAGCACCAGCGACGCGACAACGACGCACAAACACCCTGACCGGACCGCAGCGAACATCAACGACGACGACATGTTTGTTTGTCTGTTTGTTTGCTTGTCCGTCCGTTACTGTCCGTCCGGCTTTGCGTTAACGTATGACCCGTGTCTGCGCGGAACGTCCATATTTATGTGACGACGACCGTTTTTTTTTTGTTCTCGCCCGTCGACGATGTGCACATAATCATCACTCTGTGTTTGCTATCGCCGGGCCGCGATAATCGCCTGCCGCGTCTCGGCGACCGCAAACAGAAACGGAAGAGAGAGAGAGACAGGCAGACGGATTATTGGCGAAAAAAAAAAGAACGTATCCGACCCTCCGTGACGGCCGATGCGAAAGTACAACAATAATATTATGATAAACTGCAGTGCACCGACATCGTAAAATATTATCGCTGCACTCGAAATTGCATCGTCCCGAGTCAACTGCTGAGTTATTACAATGTGGCCGGGTAGCACGAAGTAAACATTAATTAACGAATCGATGGTGATCTATTATAATGGTCCCTTAGACATAATTTGGAGTCCCGTGATCGGTCCCTTAAACTAACACATTTTTCATGGTAACCAACATAATATGAAACTAAGAGATTTATCGAACCGGGACAATTCGCAACAAATTATGGGGTACATAAATATTTCAAATAAGTTTTTGTCGGGATGGATTGCGTTTGCATTAAAATAGTTACTATCCCATATTGTTACACGATGAGTTTTTATCGTTACATTTACTCATCGGCTCTAATATTGTTATAACGGTGACTGCCGTATAACTATGAGTACAACATAATAACTCAAATGCTCATAATATACCTAAATATTTCTATAAGAAACTATGTACTTCCATGCCATTAAAACAATTAACTTCCCTACAGAAAATTAAATCACAATCCACAAACGGTCTAGAAAAAACTGTAACCAAGAAAAACATGAAAAACAATTTGTCAAAACTTTTAGTACTCCAAACATTTAATACGGATGTTATTTCACCACTTGATTGAAATTATTGAGGATTCAAATGATAGAAAATACTCCTGAATAAGTCATTGCCCATTGGAAATTAGCAATTGTATTCAGCTGCAGTCAGATGTATTGCTTGTTGTACCAGTATCATTATCTATACACATTTTACAAGCCACCGTCGTTAACATAGTATATCATAAATGTGTATCATTTCGAAGTCGATTACAGTAGGTTAAATTTGTTTTGAGACGGACACTCGTGAAAGTTTACGCAATTAGATCACGCCGACTTCGTCACATGTGCGGTTAAAACGATGCTCGTTGTTCGATTGGTATGCGATATTGTTATAATAGAAAATTATTGGTTTTCTTTTTCTTTTTCCATTTTTTTTTTTCATTTATAATATGTCAGTGAAAATAATATAATGCATGCCACCATGTGTAATATATGTGTTATACATTATATTGTTCTCACGTAGAGTAGCTCAAGTCGTCATTAAGACATTAACATTATTAATTATTAAGTTTTTGTGTTTTAGATCAACAGTTTTTAAAGACCAATGATGTCAATTTATTACTCTGTAAGTCCATAGTAATATAATGTAACATAACACCTGAACTTGGACGCATTTAAAAACATGAGAAGTAGCTCGGCTGCTTATATAGGAATTATTGTGTGTGTCTCAGTATTGAGTAGGTCATGTGATAAAATAAATATGATAGTATGGTAATTAATGTGTTAAATTGTAATTCAATAATAAATACAAATACAAAATATACCAAAAATGATTCTGTAAAACGAAAATTGAACTGAAAAATACTATTTATATTTTTAAAATATCTTAAAGGTATACATTATTTATTTTTATTTTTAATATACCATACTC